GAGAGAGAGAGAGAGAGAGAGAGAGAGAGAGAGAGAGAGAGAGAGAGAGAGAGAGAGAGAGAGAGAGAGAGAGAGAGAGAGAGAGAGAGAGAGAGAGAGAGAGAGAGAGAGAGAGAGAGAGAGGAAAAAAAAGGGCGAGCAATTTGGACAAGATTTATTCACGGTGTGCGTCATGATATGAGATTTTTATGCCTTCTGCTCTCCGTGATGTGATTGAAACGTGCAATTCTAACATGCAGAGTAAAAAGCGACCAAGTCTCAGTTTTTTACAGGTTACTTGTGCCTCAGATCATGTATCAAATTGATCCATCTGTCTGCAGATGGCATGTTCTACTGAGGAACTCTATCTATCATTTCAAATCTAAATCTGACAGCAAGTGGATTGAGAAGATCAAGTACTGATAATCTGGATCACTGACTGACGGCTCAATAACCAGGTTATCCGCCGTACAAAGAATTATGGTATAAAAACGAACCCGAGACCCCAGGATTACAAAGAATTATGGTATAAAATGTAATATCAGAACAAAGTGAAAATAAATACTGGCTGTTGTATGCATTTTCGCCTTGATCTGCCACTTCAAGAGGAGAAAGCAGGTAGAAGGTTTTAACACAATGTTGAGAGTAGAACGTTTGCGTCTGAGAAAGGTAAACTGAGAGCACATAAAAAATGAAGATCTTCCTTCGTACCTTTATACTCTTCATGATAATGTTATTACGATGATTAATGTATCAGTGGTAAGATGGAAATTGCATGTAGCACGCATCAGGGAGATGAGAAGTGATTGAATAATTTTGGTTGTCAGTACTGAGCGGAAGAGTCTAATTGGGAGACCTAGACGTAGATATTAAAATTGATCCTGGAGAAATGGTGCTGATTTTAAGTAGATCGAAGGTCCTTCAAACTTTATCCCGAATTACCTCAACCAGTCCATACCCTGTTCCTTTGAAGCCCATTTTAATATTATCCTTCATTCTAAGTCTCGGCACCTTGCCTTCATATTGGCAAGTATCACAGTCAGTACTTCTGGTGAGAACTGGTCGTCAGTTACGGTGTGCTGTACTTAATTACCGTCTTGCAATGTCTCAGCGAGATGATGGGTTGTATTAATTAGTCCGGGAGCAGAGTGGCTCAGTCACCTCAGTTACTCGCCATGGACTGTACGACTTGTTAGAGGTAAAGGACTTTTCTTCCAACCTCCACATCCAGATTGGCTTGCAAGAGAAAATGAAGTATAAGAAATCCTATTGATCATATTTGGTCTGTATCTGAAATTTTGCAGGAATACTTGGCTGATTAATCATTTTAGACAATAAATCGTTTAGATTATTCACAAGGTTCCCTCGACTCTTTTAAATGTCACATCAGGTAGAAGACGCACTTCAGATGAACTCGGAACAACTGAAGATGGCTGTCTTCTGGGTTTACTAACGTTTCAGAAGCCCTTATTGCTTCCATCATCAAGGCGATGAGTCCTACAAGGCACTAAAATCCAGAAGACAGCCATCGTCATCCTCACCTCTGGTTAAACAAGTAAAACTTCGATAGAATATATTCGAAGTGTGTAAATTGCCATATGATTGATGCACATGATTTGGTTTCAAGTGGGCAGGCCACCCATTTGCATGGTAATGTACATTAGCAATTCGTTGTATGCAAAGTTAGAATGCACCGCATAACATTAAACATCTGTGTTCGTGTGTGCTTCATTTTCAAGAACACTGCGATCACATATACGAAGCAGAGTGATTACTATGGACATCTCAACACAACTCCGGTTGCCTCTGCCAGCGAAAGCTGTACATTATTCAGAAGATCAGATGTTTGATTTCATAGAGTTGTATGGTTGCTAACCGAAGTATAGTGATTGGGACGAGACCGTGCGTTCCGCGTCCGTTAAAATTAAGAGGCAAGTTTATCAAAGGGATAGTTCAGGTTCTCACGGCGGTGAGTGTAAAAATGGATCCTCTGGCATGATGGACAGTGTTTTTTTTTTCTGTTAGAAATTTTCCGACGCTTAAGAGATCTTCATAATGGAGACGCTGGAAAGACGTATTACCCAGAAGAGAGTCGTGTTAAAATATTATGTAGGAAGTCTATTAACACTAAACTGCATAATGACGTCAGAGGCTAGTTTGCGTGTTTTCCGCACAATTTCGCCAGTGCTTAAAACGATATCCCAGTCTCAGTTTAAGTCACTTCGATCACGTGACATTAGTTCCGCCAATCAGCATTCTTAATCTCTGTGTTAGCTGTGCACTTAGGCCTGTGATGCACACAATATCCTAGCATATGCAGAACACTGGAGTGATTTATCATCTTCACCCTCTCTGTTTTTGTCTGCCTTCTCCAGCAACGGTGGAAGAATTCCAGATACAAATAATAAGCATTCCAGCTGAAAGTCACTCCGTGGTTTTGCTTTATGATTTATTGTACGTATCTTCTTGTCCAAGTGATCTTGTGTTCCTCCTCCACACACACCGCATCTGGACAGGTCAAAGGAAGTCCTGACTATTCATGTAACATGCTTGTATTTAACCCCATTCATTTGCAACAGGATGCTTCCAACTCCTCCTTAGGGTTTGCATAATTTTACCTCGGCTCTATCATTAGTGTGAATTCTAAATATAAGCTATTGAATTGAGATATCCAAAGATTGATTCTCACCAGAACATTTCGTAGTTTTTCTCCGTCTCACGTGATGGAAATTGGGCCACGAATAGCTTCCTTTCATTTTACTTTCAATTCATCATTTACCGTCATCCATGAGGCCGTCTCTGCACAACCAACACAGCTGTTGGATGGCTTTTGGGTTATAGCGCCGTTTAGTCTGGTGGAAGTCTACTAGCGTTTCGGAGGTCCTTTTTGCCTCCATCTTCAGGAAGATGAATCTCCGAAGAACCTCTGAAACGTCGCTAAACTTCTAACAGACTACACTGCGACCCATCTTCATATTCACTGCCTTGAGAATATTAAATCCTACAAGCCCATACAGTTGAAGGAGAGTCGATAAAAGTGTTAAAAATTGTCATTTGTCCTCCAGCAACATTCGGGTTTGACATTCACTTCGCTCGCGTTTTGTCTGTACTCCACTTTCCTTATTTATGATTTGCAGGTTTGCGGTGCTATAAATCGTACGTGCGCCTCTGTGTGTCTCCGTAATAATACTTGTACCAACTGACGGGATTTGATTAAACGTGGTATGAACATAATTTGATGAGAAGCCATTCCAGCTTTGATGTTATTATTGTCCTTCTGGGTTTTGGCGCGATGTAGTCTCACATGTAGATGACAACGTTTCGGAGAAAATTGAGGGCTGGAACTGTGTAGATGGAGACGGTAAGTTTCTCCGAAACGGTGTAGCATCTATCTGCGAGTATACACGGCGCCAAAACCCATAAGATCAACATCATCATCATCATCATCATCAAATGTCAAATTTTAAACTACAGCTTTGCACATTATCAGTTGAGAACTTCTGAGGAACGTAGACAGGAAACGTGTGTTAACAGGCATTTTAAAAAGATATTTCGTGGTTGACATGTTTTGTAGAATGGGAAAACACTATCATGGTTGCCCGAAATTTGTATGAGGCTTCTCATTTAACATAAATAATAAGCTACATTTTATTAATAATGTTCATTTTTATATCATGAAAGTACTGTAGCGAATTGTCATTTATATTTTGTTATTAAATTAATACCTTCGTTTTAAGGCCTTTATCGTGTTAGTGTTTTTCAGAATTATTTCCATTAATTTCACTGTTATATTATTTTACGTGAGCAATGAATCAATTGAGTGACATGTAGTTTTGGAAAAGCAATTACGTTAATAATTATATATCGAAGTTTCGGACAGCAGCTTGTATCAGTTGTAATGTGGTTTTATATACACCGCAAAAACATTTTTACACGTAAAGTATGGACGGTGTTATCACATAAGCACAATTAAGTTAAACCTAATTATGCATGCCAGTATATCCGCCCTATTGATGTCTGACAAACAAATGGCCAGTGCTCTATAAAATATTTTAACTTTCTTTGTCTCAAATACACATCGCATTTTAATAGAAGTAACGGGACAGATAGCAAAGTAAGTAGGGAAGGAATAAGGGAAGGAGGCAATGAACGAAGAAAAATGTATAGAGAAAGAAAGGAAGAGCCAATTAAATAACCCCATGGAGCAGTTTTCATGAGAAGCTAATGGTTTCGCAGCTACTCAAGGAATTCCACTCCTTTTATGGAACCCAGGTTTCATTACAGTGTACGTAAGAGCCTGCAGACGGACTGTATTCAGAGCCGGATGAATCAAATTCACACCATCTACCTTACTTCACTAAAATCCATTTTTATATAATCTTCCATCTACGCCTAGGTCTTCCGAGTGGCTCTTTCCTTCAGGCTCTCAACCATAATTTTTTACACATGTTTTTAGACAACAGCTAGGAAAACAAAGCTCTGAATTGCGTATTAGCTAGCATTCCCTAGATATAACCTGGCCTTAACGTCCTCATAAATGCTATTTTCATTTCTTACTAACGTTCCAAAACATTTTAAATTTCCAGCATTTTCAAAGAGTGGAAAGGATATATTATTATTATTTAGTGTTCTGTCTGACGACAGGTCCATATGAACAGGATCCTTCCATCCTTTTCTCGGACTGGGACCTGTTCATATACGTTCTTGGCAGATGATCCAGAAGTGGTTTGCCATTGCCTTCTTCTGTGTGTAAATGGAGTAATTGTTGGGATGCCGCGGAGAAACCGGGGAAGAAGCCCCCGGAGGAAAACTCCGTGTTGCCTAGACCACGGCCTTGCCCAACACAAGTTATAAATTCGGGCACCGTCGGGAATCGAACCCGAGACCCCAGGATTGCAAGGCCAGCTCAGTAACATTGCAGTGCCGAAAACATAGTTTGAACCGAAGTGTATCAGTCAGGAAAGCGCCTGTAATTAATTAGTGTGGATTCACTGCTCTAACAAACTGCTCTGTTTGTGTCCCAGCTGCACGCGCTTCGAAGGCTAATGCAGGGGAATGGTGTCCACCCGAAGGCGCCACTGGGAAACAACTTCCGACCTCCTCAGCCGCTTCACCTCAGACCGGTCCGTACGAACATCGACTTCAATGTCAAGCAGGTAAACTCTTTCCTTTACTGTCTTGTTCTTTCTTTGGTTTTATAGCGGGTCAGAGTGACTGTGTACTATGTTGGAAATTGTCTACTATCTGACGTATATTATATGCAGACGACGTTTCAGTAGTTGGGCTCAAGCAAATTTACTTCATGGTTGCGCTGTCTAGAAAACGCCTTACGCAATCCACGTGAAAATACGTTTAGTCATATTAAAAATTGAAACGCTAACTTAGAAACAATAAATATTTTAAGGGAAATGGGAAATAAGTATAAAATCTTGGTTGGAAACTTTGGAGGAAGATGGGCGATGAAGCCCTGATGATGGAGGCAGCAAGAACTCTGAAACGTCGGTAAACTTCTACCAGGCTACACGGCGTAACAACCGACAAGACAGCCATCTTTTACATGTTAACAAGTCTACTAAACCGTTCCTTCGTTATAACAAAGGCGTAGTTGACTCCAGCTCGTATTTTCTATTGCACACTCACCCCACTTGGCATTACGATTGAAATTAATGTAGAGACGATTAAAACGTTATAAAGCCAACAGAATAAACCCCTCTGGTTGTGTGATTTGCTGGAGGAAATGGATTTTTGTTTAGGCTTAAAACACGAGTATTGAAAAGCGAATAGCCAACAGGTTATACATATCACTTTTTTTAGTGAATTCCCCGCCCCCTGTCGCTGTGTTATTGAACTCAGCTGCAATAAATCTCATTCCATTATAATGTTCAGCCAATATTGAGTTTTGTGAATATGACGTAGTGCATCAGACATTACTGCACTCTATAGGTCTTGGAATGAATCATTTGGCTTGACGAGGTAGGAATGGACGGTTAGCTTATTTCTAATTCCACTAAACAATTATAATTTCCGCACTGTTCATTTAACATTTGCACATGGTACGACAAAACGTGAACAGTCGTCTATTACCCAGATGTTAAAATTATTTCACGAATTTATTAATCGTGTGGAAATGCAGTCATGGCTTTATCCGCAGCTTAAACCACGTAAGAGGAATGTGTAGTGTAAATACAATTTTAAATAATATTGACGTCAGAGGTTCTTAAGCCTTTAAAGCTAATTAATAATGATTATTCAGTTCTTTATTTTAACATTCCAACTGAACAACTGCATCGTACCACGTACATAAATTATTTTACCCACGGATAGACGGTAGGCTGGACCCCAGAGGCAGCCTAGACGTCAGGAATCGAACTTCGGTCATCGAGACCGTAGACATTCACTTCACTGAATGCGAGAGATATACAGACAGACAGACATGGACGGGCTCATAAGATGTTTTCCGCTCACTTTCACCTTGTTATGACAGCCTACATCAAGTTACACATCCACACGAAAGTATTGGGTGGGATTGTAGCTTTGTGAATTTGGTCTTCAGATGTTCAGGTAAGATTCTAAATCGAGTGTCAGCAAGCATTTCTCGAATCGTTGTTACACTGAAACGGATGATTAGACTTCCGTGATTCATCATCCGCACAGTATGGACCTCGGTCGATGTCGCACACTGCGAACAACATCCAGACAAGTTATATGTCGGTGCCAGTATCGCGAAATTAAAATTTCACCCGACGTTTGAAATACAGAGCTGAATCTGGAGCACCAAAATTGCCTATTAATCGATTCCATTTACTCGCTCCGGGGCAGCAGCCACGGAGCCAGACTGAGTTCTGCTCGCTTGCTCTACCCTTAATTTGGTCCCTCGCCCTGAGGGTTGAGGGTGTTGACCAACAAAGTGCTGACGAGGGTATTTGGATATAAGTGAGAGAGAGGGAACGATGGGAAAAAATTACACAATAGATTTCTTGTCCATTGTGAACTTCTGTGGCCAGCCCTGAAGGCGGTAGGTCCTACCGAAACGTCGGTAATCACCTGTAAGACTAAACGGTCGCACGACACGGAGGTCTACAATTTAAATGCCCACCGCTGTGAGAACCTCGGCTGTCAGTTAACATCCGCAAGAGGATGAGATGGGCGCTGCATGTAAAACGAAGAAGGGAGATGAGAAATGCAGACAACATTTCAGTAGGGAAATCATGACGCAAAGCGACTATTCGGAAACACAGCTTAGAGGAGAGGTAGCAATAATTAAAATTATTCTTAAATAGTGAATGAGAGTGTGGTTAAATTCAATTGGTTGAGGGTGTGGGTTCCATAAAAGGCAGTGAATTTCTCAACCAGCTGAGAGACTGTCAGCTTCTTAAGTACCCTGCTCTTTTTTTCATAGTTCTCCAACTCGCACGCTGTCTATTTCAATTTGTCTTTTTCACGGATTAACAATTTTAACGCTCTTTTCGTGTTTAAATTAAATCTCCAGCGCCTTCCTAGACTTCACTTTCTTCCTTATAATTCCATGGCCACCGAGATTATTATCACTTAACTGAAATCAAAATGGAGCGATTAGAGATTAATGTAAGTCTGTTACACCGCGTTTGGTCGATATCAGTCGCATAGTTTGTGAGCTGATACTTGCGGAAACAGAATTGGATATTCAGATATTACCTTACTTGCCGAATTTCTTTCGAAGAACACCCAATGAAATTCATTTTTCATTTTTCAATTCCTATAAATCTTGTCTTTGTTGGTGACTGACTTAGCAACTACACTGTTTCCATTTATACGCTTTAAGCGGCCATCTTGCGATTTACTTACTACTGGTGTGTACTTGGAAAGAGACATCGAAGTCGACACATCCCATTTGTAATCCGGTTGCTATGTTAGTGAGAGGCAGCCCGGAGATAACATGACGCTCCATGCTCATTGCCAGGAAGCATAATAGTGATTGACAACTACCGCTCCTACCAAGCATATTTCGAACTTCCCATGGCGCAACGAACGACCATCCAGCATCTGAAGTGCCCGAGGAGCTGATGAAACCATCCCAAATCCCGACGAATACTTAAAATGATCGATTCTGCGTATAAACAAAATCAGTCACTGGATCACACACTTTCGAAGGGATTTCTTCGCGATCTAAAATATGTCAGTGGTATTGATTTTGTACTTTAGTGAAGAAGATAATACCGGGTGCCTCAACAACCCCTTTTTAAAGGAATTCGTAAAAGTTAATGATTAGTTATAGAACATAATTAAGTTTGTAGGCAAAAAGATTTATTCAGTTCGGAGTTTCGTTCAAACGCGTACAGCCATTTGTTTTTATCATTATTTTAAAACGTAATTTTTACCGCACCACACGGTATATCCATTTTACAGATATTACACTGCCGATTTTCGAAAAATGAATAAAGCCCAAATTCAGCTTTATGTGTACGTGAAGTAGGGGCCATGCTACACCAGTACGAACACAGAATATCTTGACAACTTTCAGCTTAGGACCCATGATATTAGGTTTAACCGAAACCCGTTCATTTGTTTCGGAGATGAAACCTGCGCGCACGGACGGATGGACAAGACCTCCTTTTCTATGTGCGCATTTCGCGGTCTTTGTGAAAGGAACTCGTAATAAAATAAGTTATTTCTTTGGGCTGATCGAACCGGTAACCAATTAACTCAATAGAGCAAAGTCCTTAAGAAGCTAATAGTTGCTCAGTTAGTCATGGAATTTCCAGTCTGTTTATGGGACCAGAATCTGCATTACCGTCTTAAGAATCCACTACCGACCCTTGTTCTGAGCCACATGAATCCAGTCTATAAAATTCCAACCTGTTTCCTTAAGACCTATGATAATATTATTCTGTATTATCAGGAAGGTCAGTGTTAACCCTTTGAAGCCGAAGTTTTAAAAAAAAACACTTGTCCATTACAAATATCAGTTGGTTATCGCCTTGATGATGGAGGCAGGAAGGACCTTTGAAACACTGATAAACATCTACCAGACAGCCACACGAGGCAAAAGGCAGTTTATGACTGAGCAGTCTTCCGTCGCAACTGGAATCATAATATCGCTAGTTACACTCGGACCGTGTAATGTGAAGGTTGCAACACGAAAGTGCCATTAGATACATTTGCATATTGCATGCTATGTTGTGCATTTATGTGGTGTGATGCAGCCTCCGTCCCTTGCGGACTGTCAGAAAATGCAGTAGTTGTGATGTGATCGGCTTCCAGTCCTGGGTTCACTGTCTGCACGACAAAGTGTTTGGATGTGGTCATTTCAGAGCCAACCTCATTGCACGGTCGGATAAATGTCCTAGTCTCCTTTCTTCCTCTGTTCATCCTTCTGTCCTCCATTCCTTTAATTGTTCTTTGTTTTGCCTTCTGCTTTTTACCATTCCCATCTGCTCTCTTACTCTCTGCCTTACTCCCGCCCCGTCTCTCTCTCTCTGTCCCTGTTTTCATTTTAATTTGTCTCTGCTAATATCCTCTGTCTTTTCCTTTTATTTATATCTTTTTCCTTCGTTTCTGTTTTCGTGTTTTGCGTCTTACTTCATTTCTATGTTCCTTCCTCCTTCTCGACTTCTATTATATATTTCTGTGATTCCTTCCCCTCTCCCATTTACTCATTACGACTTTTGGTATTTGCAAGAAAAAGTAGGCCTATGATATGAGTCATCGTGTACTTATGGCCTTTTTCTTTGCAGGGGGGGAAATATTGCCCGAGTATGTACAGAGAAGTGTATTACAGAGGTAAGTGAAATTTAAGCTTACTTCTCCTTCTCCCTCTGTGATTCTTATTCTTGTGATCTGTTTTCTGCCCCGTTATTTCTAAATTCGTTGACCTAATCACGCTGGATGATTCCGTTTGTTCAGGAGATTTAGTCATTTACAGCGCTAACAATTATAATCACTCCTTTAAGCATAATACAGTAGATTCCGATTATCCGCGTTTGTTGGAAAATATACATTTTTCCAGATAATCGAAACCCCAGATAATTCGCAAAAAATAAAATAAAACACGCAAATGTAACAAATACGTTATTTAATTTAGAGACATACACTATTTAAATTTTTTAAAAATTTACAAATAACAAAGGATTTTGCATAAAATTTAATACCAAATATTTTTTTTAAATGGATTCCAGCGGGTAGTACGTAATAACGTATTATTGTTGCAGACTTCTGGTTGTAGCAGCAATTTATTTATGATAACACGTTAAATAATGTCATGTTTGTATTTATGTCTTTCGTTTCAAACGTTTAACTTTTACAACAGATTTTTTACATTAATTTTTAAATTTCATTTATACCAGACAGACCTCTGTTAATGTGCCCCTGGATAATCGAGAGACTATAGAAATAGCTTATACGTATATTTCTTAATTCTTATAAGCTTCAGACAGTCGTCTGGATTTAGAATTAATTATAAAATATTTAATTATTAAATTATCCTCCGCATAATAATACATATATAACTTCACTTAAACTCGTGTGGAGAGACTCATCTCACTTTTTATTCCATGGAAAATAATGGCGAAAAACGTATCTGTGACACACGAAACTTTTCACAGATTACACTATTCTTTGTCACACTTCAAATGTAAATGCTGTTAGCCTCACTAACACTTTGCTTGCTATAAGCTATACACTCAGTTTTATTTATGGGATTATTGTGAAACGAAACACGTCCTGCCATCTCTTGTTACTTTAAGCTAACTATTTTTGCATTCCATTAACTGGATCTATAAATTACTGTGGAAGTATTAGACTGAGTAATATATTTCTAATGAAAACATTAGCACGGAAAGAATAAAGGACAGAGTTTTTAGCGTGTTCAAAGATAGAAAGTAATACCATTAAATACATATTAAAATTGTTAGTTAATTAAATTAATTTTGACACATATCAGAGTTCTCATTACAATCGTAGAAACTCATAGACTCCTCTCTCCCACCAGTTTATTCAAGTCATATTTGTTATGTACGTGTGTTATTAATTAGTTTTTTGTCTGTTTGTTTCAGCTAACAGTTGGAAACAGCACTGAACACTGAATGCCAGCAGGTTTCTAGATAATTAAAAAGTTTGTTTGCAAAAATAAAACTGCTTACTGTACCGTATATTACGTCAGTACGGAAGTCATATAATTAAAAGAGTCTACCTTCTCCATTAAACATATCAAGTGAACATAAACATCAAAGTGCCAGTGCTATAGTGTTTAGAACTGAGAAGTTATTAAATGACAACGTGATGTAGCATTTATTGTCATTGCATGACTGCTACAAGTGTCATCGAAAGGTAATGACAGTCATGAATGTTAGGTGACTGGGGGAATACATAAGAAGGTAATTAAGATTCAGCGTCACCAGACGTGGTTCGTGAATGTGACGCTAACGTTCGTGTGAATCAGAATTTTTCGCAATACCTAACTCAGCGTACACAGCGTTTAAGATTGGATTAGTCGTTCTACAATCTGTGATTTCTTATCATTGCGTACGACGGATTTCGCTGACGTAATTTTGTATTCGTTACTCTATAGATATAATTTATACGTGGCATACTTTAAATTTGTTTTGTATTAGTTAATAAATTATTGACGAAATTCTTCAATTTTGGACATACTTCTTAAATAATATTAAGGAATTTTTACCCCCAGCCAAAAAATGACTTTCTACTCTTCGTAAGATTTCCGGTTCTCACGGCGAATATAAAGATGGCTGTTTTCTGCCTCGTTCCGCCGTCGGTACACTTTTAACTGAATACGCGACTCTACAACCCAGAAGCCATACTGTTACTTCCGTCATCGTCATTTGTCCTTTTAATGATTTGTGTAGGTCTAATAAGGAAAGTCGTTTTATACAAGAGCATTACATTCACGAACTGCCGCTGTTGAACAACGCGTTTGATAGTCCTCTTTGTAAATTTGGAACGTTCGAAATGAGTACCATTCAGAAGCCAGCATGTGGACAGAAGAGGACGATGTTTACATATATCGATGGAAACTTTGAGAAACACAAGATCCCTAATAAAGTGTATGGGACACGGCTTTCGTTCCACAAACAGCCGGGCAGTGGAAGCAGCAAGAGACATGACCAGCCGATGACGTATTTAAGAGGGAATTTGCGAGTTTATGTTGCTGTGGTAAGCCTTCAGGAGGTACTTGTTGAGAATAATGTATAGAAATTGGTGGAAATGGTAGACACATATTACTTATTTCTTACCCGAAAATCACAAAAGATTTTTGTTTTTCTGTTCTAAGATACAAATGTTTTCCTCAAATATCTTACCAACAGAAATGTAGACCTACTTAGCTACAAATCTAGTCATTTCCTATCCAGCATCATTTCCAAATTGTTTTTATTTAATATATTTACAAAAATATTCCTTACATTTCTTATGACCGTAATTTCTTTACTCTCAAAATTTACTTTCAAAATTTGGCTTTACATATAAAGCGATCATATATCAGAAATGAATTGAACCGGGTTTTCTTTTACGTTCTTCCAGAACTTTCTATACAAAATTTTCACGCAAATATTTATACTGTGAAGGGTCTTCCTATGTAAATTACTAGGAAAGAGATGATAAAACAAATAAATGAGATGATAAGCTTACGATCTTCGTGACAAAACATGAAAAGCAAACATAACCTGCACAGTTACAAATTCGAAATATTTTCTTTGTGAAAAGAAATTTTCTTTCTTTCAACGTGTTTATTTTTTATTCCATTAAGGTGTCTGCTGATGTGAAGATGAGCTAACAAATTATCCTTCAAAGTACTGACCCCAACTTCGACGTATTAAATACAGAGTATAAACAGTTACGTGTTTTCTGAAGTAATTTACGCATAGAGTTTATAGGAAAACCAACAAATAGAACCTACAGTTAAAACAGGATATCATATCAATTGCAAGCCTAAACTGAGAAACTTATGGACTGGGTTCATTAGTATTAGAGGCTTGAAAAGTTGGTAAATTTACACATACTCATGATACAGTGTTAAAACGCTCAACTGAACTATATATATGTGGATATTTGTTGAATCACAAAAATATCATTACATGTGAATCAAAATTTTCATGTTTATTCGAGAAAAATCTGAAAATCATATTTTATTGCAGAATATCATGAAAACATTAGTGTTGATATCGTGCTGTTGCCTCAGAACAACACCCAAGACGTGTATTGGTACGTACTTTCGCGCACTGACGTTTTCAGTTAAGGTACAGTTATGTGCTGAAAATACTTTATTTCATATAGCATAGTATTTTACTGTTATTTTCTGCGTGATTCAACCATTTCTGTACAAAATATATTTATTTTTTCAGTTTTACTCTCCAAATTAGGGCACGCCTTATATTCAGGAGCGCATTAAATTCGGACAAATCGTGTTTCGGTCATAAAACCTTAGTAAATAATTTTCACTGACCTTTACTAATCTTTGGAATTGTTATGTGCAATCAGGTTATCAACAGATATCATTTTCGACAATCAGCGATTTCCGAACAGTTGACGGCAATCTGAATTTCTTTATCCTTCTTAATCAAACAATTTGTCGTACAAAATAAATATTTGAGGCTTACATTGAAACACTAACGCCATATCGTACTGTTATATCGTGCTTCCAGTCTGCATATTTGTAGTCACATATTCCTCAGGTGCCTTTAGTCTAGATCGTTAACGAAGTAATTAAAAGTCGTAAAGGTTTCACGCAATGATTCACAGTTATTTCTTTTGTCAAATTACTAAAGGCCCATAATCAACAGACATCCAACTCTAAAATCTACACTTGAGAACATGGCCTACTTCTATCAACTAGAATGTACTCTGAAGGGAGTATCACTTATTTTCCTATTGTTTTCTCTCCGTGAGTTGATAAACAATCCTCTTCACTCTGTTATGAATCGTATATAACAAGGTTTATAGTAACACTCGGTTACCAACCACAATAGGCCTACATAAATACATAAAATGAGTTCTAAATTTTGCATATCAAAACTATACCCTTAAATAACATTGCATTCGTCTTACATATCACATAGGAAGGACGAAATAAATGCATATAATTTATTTAATACTGACAAATTGTTTCGTAAGATTTTATCAAACTTCCGTTATTCGGATGTATAAGACTGATAATATTTGTAAGGTTTTAGTCGTTAATTCGGAAACCGCTGACAAAAAGGATTACTTTGTCAGAGTTCATGTTGCAGCTTATTATATCATATTGTCGACATATTACGATTACCTACAAAATAGTAAAACTTCTTAAAATTAGAGCGACGTCCCTTGGAGCCATTTTGTTCTCCCATTGACCGATCGACGGCCGACAAATTAAGCAAAATGTCTGTATGAGGCATTTACCATTACAATGATTAACTGGTTGTGTAATAAAATAATTGTTGTTTGCTCTGAGAACATAATAGGTAAATTCAGAGTTATTAATTATTAAAGAAGGTGGTGTATATAGTTACCACTGGGCTTTAAAGAATTAAGTTACAGAATAGGGATAACGAGCTTCAAATTATTTGATAGTTAAACCAATCATGCGTTTAACTTTGCTCCTCTGAATGGAGGACAAAAATAATGTTAATGTTTTCTTAATGTGTAGCCATATTTTTGCTGAAGTACAGAAACATAAATCAGATTTATTTTAAGTCTACTGTTTAATAAAAATCGGTCAATGGAAATAATAATTAATCTATAAAACCACAGCTGAGTAAGCTTAAGTTGTCAAGAGATTTTGAAGTGAAATTATAATCAAACTGATATCAATCAAACAGACGAAATAAGAGGATATTCTGATTCTTAGCGTTGAAGGGGTTACAATTTATGTAACCGAAGAGAGCTGTAATGCAGACTCTGACTGAATTCGCTTTTAGAAATTTATTTACGATCTCGGTCAGTATTTTTGTATAATTCTCTGAAGGATCACGATTTCTGCTGCTTGTTGCAGTAAACGAATAAAAATAAAAATAAAAGGTAACAGATGGCTATGATAAATTAAGATATATACGTTTTAACAAAGAAGAAACATATCATATTTTACAATCTGAAAAAAAATTACCCAAATGTTGCTGTAGACTGCTTTGCATATACTAACTCCTAAATGTGTATGAAAACATGTTGTTAAAAGGATCCTATTATAATACGAAGTGACAATGTTATAATGTCTCTGTAGTATTTAAGTGGAACTTGTGAGCAGCGGTAGTGAGACTGCTTCTTGTGAAGAAACTACGCATAGTTATGTACTTCGTGTCTCATTCAATGAAAACTAATGAAGCCTCCCTCTTGCTTTTTGGTAAGTTTTGTTACCAGTGAATTTTATTTCTTAAGCCTCTTAATAACAATAACAAATCCTTTAAAAAGTGGCACATTTCAGGCACTTATGAGCGTCACTGACATTATTATTATCAAAATTATTTTACGTACACGAAATTAAGAGCAGATTATATTTAGCGAAAGATCTGAGCACTTAATCTTCAGAACTATAGCATTACCTTCAGAATTTTACCCTGCAAAGAGACCCGCTGGTGTAGCGGGGAAGCTCTAGATTCAGTCCCCCCATGAAAATACAGGAAAAGTGCCTTAAATTAGACCACAGTCACTTCCTTCCGAATCCTTTCAATTCACTAGTCACCACCACATCGTTCTACTCCGTATAATCTGATCTAATGACAGCACAGTTAAATAAACCACAAATAAAGGTACGTAACGGAGGCAGAAATGATGTTGTGATACCACAATGTTAGCTCTAAGAACAGAAAAGTTATCACTCACTTCTGAAATGCCGTTATGAGATTTCTGGTTCACTTAATAAGAAATTATTTGTGTTTACTCTCCAAGAATAAGTGTAAAATGATTATTTTTTAAGTACAATATTCCCCGCGCCCGCTGTTTACTAAATTCCCTACGCATTGTAAGTCTGATCGTAAAGAACGGCGTAGCATCTTGGTAATTAACTCGATATTAACTAGGTTTCGATTTAAAGTTTTACTTGTGCGTTTATTTAGAAATTTATATCCGTGAAAGCTGACACGCGACCTTTCACGGGTTTATGAGCCAACCTCTGTCGGGACCCGATTTATACATTAATCATATGTTTACATAAAACGTAAATTCGTAACAGAATAATACAAGATTTGTAGAATGGTTTTCTCGTAACATTAATCCTATAATTATGAAGACAATCTAAACCCACAATTTTGTACACAGCTGAGGGGCTACCAGCCTTTAAAAGAAATGTCTGTAGATTACTGCGCAGTTTTTGTAGTCAACACATTGGTTACGTTATCACGACCATTTTAAAAACTATCGTAAATTTCCTAATGTTCGCTGCCCACTAAGGTAAAATAAAATTCCAACATTAAATGCAATATAGGTTAAGTTATAGACTCCCTTTTAAGCGCACACGTCTTTCAAATGCCCCTATTCGTATTTAACAGGAAAATTATAAATTTGATTTGTCGGTATTAAATGTGTTAAGTTGGTATTACTGATATATCAAGTGCAACCATTCAGTAGAAAGGCAGTTGTGTGCGTAGACTGTGTATGGACAGCACTGAACAAATAAACTCTAAGGTAAATATAATTATGAATAACAATATTTATGTATGTAAATATTAACAACGCTGTTATGTTATCAGGATGCAAATATTTTGCACAAAATAACCTATCCCAAATGGTATTTATAACAACGGGTGTAGAAAAACCATAATGCGACTCATTAGACATGTTTACCCGAAATGATACATCAGCGACGCATTTGACAACGGAAGTACGCGGTTCGAATACCGCTCGGAGATGGCAAATATTTAAGAACGCTTGTTTCAACTGTAGAAATACAACGAGATTAGAAGCTGAAGGTGAATACAGAGAAATAATTTCAAAATGGTCACTTGTAGTTGGTTCCAAGTTAATAGCTCGCCATTTTCTGTCGTTAATTTAGAAATCCTAGCCACATTTCCATCTCGTATAGCTACTCCAAAATTGTAATTGAAATAGAATGTAATCATCAATCACTAAATCCTTAGAATTTTCTCTGACAGTATTAGTCACAATTACAACCTCGTTACGGAAGAATGGGGATGTTATTATTGGGGGCTCTTACGACCGGGGGAGGGGGGGGTCAAAATTGGAGTAATCTGGCTCAGAGTAAGGATCGGTGGCCGATTCTTGTGAACACAATAATTAATTAGAATATATTTGAAGTTCTCGGGGCGACTAGTATGAATCTAGCTTCATCATCAATCAGGACGATGGGTGCAGTTAGCTTCTCTTAAACGTCGGTCAACATTTACCGGACTACACGCTGTTACATCCAAGAAGACTGCGATCTATGGTAATGAATCTCCTGGTTCCAAAAAGTTGATGAATTTCCTGACTAGCTGATCGAAATATTGGCATCTCAAGAAAGACTCTGCTCCATGCACTTGTCTGGTCTGTTGGATGTCTCTATCTTAACCGACTGACGACCCCTGTAGTTAAGCGTGTTGTTTGTTTTAAGCCTGGTTCACACCTGAGCATTCTGCCGTAACGAAACAAGAGATTTCGTGGTCCAGGTGCGTCGCAATCTGGCGAACGTCCACATTTACTACCGTGGCGTAAAGCCACGTCATTCGACGTTCGCTAAAAACGCCGACAGCCACGTAGATCCGGCGAGCAGCGATTGTTAAAGCGACGTCGTCCACACCTGCGAAATCGCTGTTACGCCAAGTCAGAATGCGCAAGTGTGGACCCGGCTTAAATCTCGGATCACTTCGGTCCCTTGTTCCTGTCTGACTGAAGCCTTCGTGTCGGGAGAGCACCTATTGCTCCTATTACTGAAATCGAATCCCCCTTCAATCGCATTAAACCAAAACCACACCGAGTTCGCAGTTCAGAGAGTGATATTAGTGCTGCCACAATATATACTGTAATAGAGTTTAATATTGAATGAATGTGCAGTCGGGTCAACCGAAAATAGAACACAGGATGCCCGGAAATTATAACCAGTCAGTGAATTGCTTATACATTTTTAATAACGAAATGAAGGGATAAAATTTGATATTTATAAGGGCAACAAAGTTTTAAAAGAGTACAATTTGAGAATAAAACTATCTTTATAGTAATGGATCTTTATTGCACACTTTATAAGTTAACATTCTGGTCAATAAATCCCCTGTCTTCATAGAACTTGTTCATAGCTCGGCAGTGGAATTTGTTCTCATCAAATTGAATCCAGGCCATTTCTTCACACCGCATGATTTTAAGATCCAATTTAATGTTGAAGATTGATATCTTCTGGGTTGTTGCTCTGTGCAGTCTGGCAAAAGTTTACTGGTGTTACACATGTGCTTGCTGTCTCCATCATCATGGTTCTGTTAAAGGCAGCAAGGACTACTGAAACGTCGGTAAATATCTACCAGATTAATAAGAGCAACAACCCAGAAGTCGGCCATCTTAATACACGCCGCCGTGAAAAATTGAAATCCCAGTACATCAGAATCATTCTCAAAAGAACAGTGTCTATTCTGAAAACCCTGTACATTTCTCTAGTGGCATGAATATGCAACAATAAACATGGAAATTCTGATGCTGTAGAAATATAAAAAAAATTAAATATTCCATTAGCATTTGATTGGAAATAGAAAATAGATGGCCGCTTTATGCATTTGAACCGTGCCACTAATATCATATCATTCCCACGCATTGGTCTTGTCAGTAGGCTACACTCGCTGTTTGTCCGTCATTTGTTTACAGTTATGGCCTTAACGTGTGTTGGAAAGGTTAATTATTATATGAGTGGATTTGTTTAAACTTCTGCTTTATATTAAAATTTCATAGATCTATGTACTAAAACTATTTACGATTATTTGTTTCAAGTTAATAACCCAAATCCATCATTCCACATTATTTAGTTCTGCAGGAAACAGGAAATCTATGTATGGTTTTGTCACTGCGTTTATATATTATCAGTTTAATAAAAATGTTTGAGAGGAAAGTTATTTGAATCTGTCCCCCCCTGTTCACAAAAACAAATTAAAACAGATATATTTCCGCAATGTTTGACTTGTTTCGATTAATTTATAGTTTTATTTAACAGCGCGGTCAGTGGCTGAGTTTTCTGCATCGAATTAAATGAGGAATTAACAGAAAGGGATATGGAAGGAGTCGGTCATAGTTAAGTGTTAACTATGAGACCGAAAAATTCATCACAATCCCAACAAATCTCTTCACTTTATCGTATCCCGTTCACGTCATAACACCGTATTTGCTGACTTCTGTATATAATAAAACACTCTCGTGGTCTATTAAAATCCTAACCTCAATAATCAGACTGTAGCATAGGTGGGCGGATAATATTAAAATGGATATTAAACATTTAGATTGAAACGTGGATTATAAACGGAACACTCTCAGTATATGGTCTAATGTTGTGGTCGTCTGAACATAGTATTTGATATTTGGATTTCAGAAAAGCGGACACCTTTATAAGTTGAATAACTATCAAGTTTTCAAAAAAAGTCTCTGCACCAAGAAGTTATACAATAAGCTAGTTGAAAAAAGATAGAAAGTCTTGACCAGGAATCGAACCACTGCCTTTCAATTCATACGCGGTCAGTGACCTCTCATTGTTTATAATTTAGGGTGAAATGGAGCCGGTGAGAAGAAATTTCTTTGAATCGAGTGAGAAAACCATTTTTTTCTAACAAGGTGATCGCGGGCTGGTGGACAGATTTCGTGTCGAGGACACCAGAGTGAGCTGTGAATCAACACTGCGAGTGACCACAAAATCAGCCAAACAGTGGAACGAGCGGACATTTTGAACGAAACGCTGAGTGGCTCAGTCGTCAGCAGTACACGTGGGTATCTGTACAGTCTGTCCAAGATGTAATAGCCAAACGTCTGTCCATCCGCCCTAGTTATAATAAATGCCCTCAAAAATAACTGCCTCAATTATCACGACCCTTTTGATGGATGCAGGAGGTACCTCTGAAATGTTAGTAAACTTCTACCAGACAACACAGCGCTATAACCCAGAAGACGGCCGCCTTCAACTCAGAACCAAGCCCGCAAGAGTTACGTGCATAAACGGGACATGAATCGATCAATACACCGAGTGGCAAAATTTCACGACTGGTGGGAACTTTGTTTATTAATCACCCTGTGGAACAACACGCGGATCCATTTAACTGCTGGGGTACAATACAACTGCTTCATTAGCCGCCATTATAATAACTATTCAAAAGGAAACTACAATAAAGGGGGACCTGCAAGAGACATACAGCGCAGAGTTTCGTAAATGAAGCTAAGATTGATTGCCAAGATTTACTTGTTTGAGTCTGCTGGGCTTTGAGAAGGGCATAAGTTGAAGACAGTGGATTCTGGCTGAACACCGCCGTCCTGTGGGTACTTCAGAAACAGGAGATATATGAGTGTCCTACCCCTACTTAGAGTACGCATAAGTAACTAGCTCAAAGAGAGAAGAGCATTTCTTTGGAAGCTAATATTCACTCAGGCAGCAAACAACTTCGCACGCCTTTATGGAAAGCGATGGTTCATTGCCGTACTCACAAAAGGCCACGATTGGTTTCTATCCTGACCCAGATTACTCAATTCCACACCGTCACATAATATTTAATATTCGTGTCAATATTATCCACCCATCTACGCTTTGGTTTTCCAAGTTTTTCTTTCCTTCGACTTTTTCGACTGAGATTTAGACTGTCCGTACACCTTAATGGGTGGACGAGACAAATTGCCTCGAGAAAAACATGGCACCCTATTTTATCAGTCATGAATAAACATGGAGGGGGAGGAATTATATATCAGCACCATGCGAAGAAATTCCTTGTGGTCCGACCTAACCAATTACGGAAAGTCATTCAAATACCACGTGGCGTCGCTTAATAACTTAAAGCGCAAACCTACCTTACGTTACCTCAATCAGTTATGCACGCCAATTTCTTTAATACAATTTGCCTTATTATCGTACGATTGGGCATGAATACATTTCACCGGTGGTCGTCCCCATGTTCGAATTTTAACTGACACCTTATACATAAGCACTAGGTGGACATTTTATCGCCAAACCAGCTTTCATAGATTTCTCCGTGAAGGTTCAAACGCAATGCGATAAAGTTCATCAACGGTTCTACCACTCTCAGACCGCAGATAAACAAAACACTTCCTTTTTTTTTGGTTTTCTTTTGTTAAATGATGCTGAAAGGGGGGGTAATTATTATCTGCACGACATGACGTTCGATGAGGTTCGCCCCGCAGGATTGTGTGGGCTGGGGGTGGGGGTTATTTCTGATCTTTTGAAGAGAGGCTGTGAGGCTGTATCTTCACCTGAATCAGCCAGTGGTCACCAGGTAACCAAACCTCGCTGTGGCAGCTAATTGCCTGACGGATTGAACATAATTAGATTCACCGGAGTGTCTACTGTGGCAAAGCAGGGCACAATGAGACCGCAGTCCACTTCAGCTTTCACGTGTTACGTACGGGGCACATAACTGAGATGCAGAGAGGGAGTCACACGGGCGTTAGGTGGAGTACGTAATGAGGGGCTTCATTAATTCTTATATTATTTGCCTTTTTCAAGGATTAGGTCCTCTAGCCTGTTCCGTCTTTAACCTTTTAAAGCCCAGTAGGAGCTACATGCAACACCTACTTTAAGAATCAGTAACTGTGCATTTTGTGTGCATGAGTATTGTATTTACTTAAATAACGTTAACCATTTGATTTTTGTGAAGGTTAAATGTTGTGTTTTCTTTGCGGTAAGGGCCGAATTGTTAAATATAATGTAGGCGAGGTTCATTTAATATATCTTTTCGTCTTCTCCGCAATCTTTCTATTCCTCTATGTTCTTCCCGTTTGTAATTGAAAAGTGTATTTTGGAGTCTTTCTTTGTCCATTCTTAATATGCATTCGTACCAATTTTTCTTTAGGTTTCCATTTCCTTACTCAAAAATAGACGTTTAAATATTTTAGTGCATTTCTATTTCTCTTAATATCTACGAGGTAAGATCCAACCAATGATTCAATTAATCTAATTTTTAGCTCACTAATCGTTCTGCTGTCTCGCCGATTCTTTGTCCAGTTAATATTCAATTAATTTCAACTCAATTCTTTAATAAGAATAAATAAAGGACGATGATATGGTTTAGACATGTAGAAAGTATTGTGAAGACGAATGACTTGTTCATTGTTATTCCAGCTAATTAGATAAAAAAAATGGAATGGTAGGAGAATTGAGCAATTTTCATCAAATGAGCTTAATATTTTCTCCTCATTACGTAATAGTGTCACGTTTTTTTTTTTTTTTTTTTTGCTTAATAGAGGTGGAAGTGGATGAGACGTGCAACATGTATTAGAAACATGAGAAATACATGCAAACGTTTGTTCGAAGAACCTAAAAATATATAAATCTTTGGAGGCGTAGGAGTGAATGAGAGGATAATAATAAAATTGATGTTAGATAAATAGAATGTGGTGGTAGTGAAGAAAACGTGTAGACGGTAGATTATTGTTCTCGGTTTTTCGTGGCTGGAGTTCAATATATGACATCGGCTTTCGAGTGAGAACCGAGTCGAATATTTGATGTTAACCAACGTTTCGGCAAGCATTGCAGTTGCCATTTTCAAGGTGGGTATGAAGTGTGATCAGTTCTGGGGTCTTATAATAAGGCAGGCAGTGAGTGGCGATATAAATTTGTCGATACTGATTGATGAAGCGGTGGACGGTAATTTTTTACGAATAAGGAAGATTACCGCTGTGCTTATCTAACACAGCAGACTGGTAATGCAAATGAACCTAGTAACAGCAATACCATGGGCATGTCGATGATTTTATCGTGTTCATAAAAACGTAGAGCGCTGTTGTGTGGGAGGGGAGGGGTAGTGTGGGGTTAATGAAAACCAGTAGACGTCCAATTTTCTGCACCGCTGCGTGTACTTCGGAAAGATTGACTCTACTAGTCATGAGATAGTTAAACGAGAGCGGTATAGGCCTTATTCCTCCGATAGGAGGGAATCACGGCCGTGGGGTGTTTTAACAGTTAACGTCCTGATGTTTGTCTTTGTGTCTTCGTCCTAATACTCCTAACACTATTCAAATATCTTCGCTTTATGTCCATATTAACATAGATTTATATGCCAGTCCAACTTTATGGAGCATCGTCTTTCTTAAGAAGTTAGTAATCCACTCAGATAGTAAAAAATTTTCCTGCCTTTTATGGAACCAAAAGAACCCGATTCTGGACCCATCCATAGCCAGATGAGTTAAGTTCACATTCTGTATCTTTAAGGTCCATTTTAAATTATCACCACTCTCACGCCTAGAAAAACCAAATATTTTGCCTTCATGAAATTTCTTTGGAAAAAGACAATTCACAGTTGGGAGTTCTGGCATCGATATTTGATCTGTGTGCAAATGAAGCACTCATGTTGACGCATTGCGTCGCCCTCAATTGCACTGATGTGACATATCAAGTGTCACCGATGTCACATCAACGAGATGACACAGTGTCCTACGTCCTGCAGGGCCATAGAAACTGCTCCGTGCACTTTTGATGTAGCACTTCACTTCGCTGAGTTGTGAATTGTACAGACAACGAAAGAGTATACTTGGACCTAAGCGGGACGAAGTGACGGGAAAATGGAGAAAATTACATAATGAGGATCTCCATAGTTTGTACTCTTCACCATATATTATTACGGTTATAAAACCAAGAAGTATGAGATGGGTCTCACATATAGAGCGCATGACAGAGATGGAGAATGTCAGTTGAATAGATCTTTCGGAAGACCTAGATCTAGATGGGAGGATAATATTAAATGGACTTTAAGAAAATTATGTTGTAGGGCATTGACTGCATTCGTTTGTTTCAGGATAGCAACTGACGGTCTGCGAATATAGTAATTTACTTAGTTGGTTAGTTAACAAAACGTCGCCTCTTAACGAGCTTCGTGAACAGAGTGTTACAAGGAATCATGAGAGAGCTGGGAAATTCGATTACGCATTGCCGAGAAAATCCAGTTTAATCAGAAAATTGAGTTTTAAAAGTCTTTTCATCCAAAAAGAGTTTGTAGTTGTTTTCATATGTAATTTTCTAACCCTCCATTTTATTTTGCAAGATCTCGAAGCGTCGTATCAAGAGTTTTACAGTACAATGTGGTCTGCATTTCTGAACAGGAAACTGCATATACATCATCATTAGAGGGTAGATAGATCTACCTAGTAACCCTTGAACCCAAGGGAAGGAAATGGAATATAAGGCAGAAGACTTGCTGTTGGGGGGGGGATGGGTTAGTTTCCCTCCATTTAATAAAAAGCGCGCGATATTTCCTGGACGGCCATCTGCCGCCTCCCAACCAGAGTAGAAGCCTCGACATCGTAACTTGGGAGGAATCGGTTACCGATAAACAGACCTCCTCCAACCCACTACCCCTAATGGACCAGATAAATCTACCTTTCAGTACACATCTACCAGTAAACCCTGATGGAAATAAAATTGGTTTGGGGTGGTAACGTAGGGGTGGGGGTGGATTACCATCTTGGATCGTAAGTGCACATCACTCAAGAGTTGGGTATCGAAACACAGGTTTCACATCTAAATCTATCGAGTGCATTATATTCCTCGTGAAGTAGGGTATAATTATTATAAAACCGTAATGTTTTAATTGCCCTGAGTAATTTAGATGTCAAACTCTGCGGTAAATAACGTCCAGGCTGTAGTCAGTCACTGTACTGACTTAGCTAATGTAGTCCAAAAAAAAAAGTTGTTTAATCATGTCGAAAATTTGCATAATATAATGTGTTACTAACTGAAAGTTTTCTAAGATGGAAATGAGTGTTGGGTGGGCTAACCAAATAATTACATTGTCTATTAATGAGAGTCGTTTGACTTCACTTATTCCAGAGAAACCGTTCTGGCATTGTGTTCTGAAATACAGAATGCCCTAATCTGTTACATAGGCAATCCCACACGGAAATCTAACATCGGCCAAACACCATATGTTGGATCTCTCATCTTTTATTCCACACAACGGATCAAGCGTACAGTCTCTTTATAGAGCAATGGGCCACAAATGTATCAATAAACCGTGATTGTTCAACTTCTCAAGTCCGGGAAATATTAACACATTTCTAGGCAGATTACATGCCCAAAATAAGTCATTTTTCCTAGTAACTTCGTTTTGTTGGCACGATTTGTTGATTTTGGCTTATTTAAAGATTTTTTCCAGCTGGATTTGATAGTGTTCTCGGATATTGCTCCGTGCAGTCTTATAGAAGTTGTCCGACGTTTCAGAGTTGCTTTCCTGATGATAGAAGCAATAAGCCTTCGGTAACGTCTGTCAAATTCTACGTGACAACATGACACAATATTATACCAGGCTGTCAATTTCAAACCGTCCGCCGTCAGGACGTTAAATCTTACTTATTCTTCCTTGTAAAAGTTATTTTAAGCCAATTTTAATGTAAAACCCAACATCTTAATAGAAGGAACGGGAGAACCATGAAATCCTTAGTCCCTCCGTGCAAATATTTTGATGGCACCTTAAATTAACCCATTCCCCCTTCCTCCCTCTGTTCCTTCCATATTCTTCCCAATTCATTATTCATTAATCATCCTGTTATTCGACTCTATACATTTTGATATTTTGACAGCATCGTTAATTAAAATGTAAATAAATAAATAAAATGATTAACTAGTCATGAAAAGCCGTTATCGTGAGTTGGGTGGGGAAAGTAGAATCTAGTAGGACTAGTAGGATTCATTTCTACATTTCACCTAATTATAATGAATTAATCGACAATTATTAGATAGACAATACATGCAGCACGCATAAAAAGATCAGACTGATGCTTAAAGTATAAGATAATATTAAAAAGAATCTACAGAAACTGGATCGAGAGTATGTAATAGTTTAAATATACTCAGGATAATATCCAGTATTGGAATGAAATAATGAACATTTAGTTGCTATAAATGCGAGGAATTTCTTAACCAGATTTACAAGTATCAAGTTCTTTAGAAAATTTCCACGTTCCATGAACCACCTGTATAGTATCTGTACCATTGATTAGCTTTATTTACAAGTGTTTCTATCAGCATTAAATTAAACTCAGAACCTATAAATTACGTAAATGTCGCAGTGCGCTTATTTAAAAGTTACCTGTGTTTCGTACTTCATTACGTCAGTACGCACTCACGTCACATTACGCCATAGTTACAACGATCATGCAGGTCTCCATTTTCGTTGGAATCAATTGTACCGAAGAATGTTATCCCACAGAATCTACATACGCGCCCCAAGACTTTCCATAACATAACACTTCCTCAATACATGCGCTGGGCTAATGCAGACTATGAAATATTGCTGCCAGGTTTTTGAATAACAAGAAGACACAGAGAAATGAATGGAAAGAAGGCTTTATATGGATTGCATATTTGTAAGGTCATGGAACTGAATCCCACAAGATGTTTTCTAGTCCGAAGAATAAGGGAGGATTCTGAGAGGATTTTTTTTTTTATCTACTTAACGTCTGTAAGTATTCCTGACAAAGTCTGTTTTTCTAGCGCAGTATATCTGGATTCTGCCCTTTTCATTCCAGAGATCCTGGTTGTAGACCAAAGTGAAGGAAGCTTTGGGTGGTTCTAAAAATGGATAAGTGATTAACCTTGCATAACTCACCCTTACCGCCCACTTATGAATGACCGAGCAAGGGATGAGGCAGCACTTCTCCTTCTTTTCCTTCATCAATGCGATGTCCGATTCGGTTGTTGGTCAGACCAGTGATTATCCTTCCAATTTCTGCAAATTAATAATAAAATAGTACATTTAAATAGGCCTTGGTGTACTTTTCAAAATACATCCTCACGACCCATTTGATACTGTATATCCTTAGTAGTCTAAAAAGCGTTGTTAAACTAAATTAAGGTTGGTCTTGTCATAAAATAGGTCTGCATACCGGATGAAAAATTTCACTAGCACTTTATAACGTAAAATAATGTTAGTTAAATTTTAAGTTCTCGCGGCGGGGAATACAAAGATGGCTGTCTTCTGGGTTGTAACGCCGTGTAGTCTCGTAGACGTTTACCGACGTTTCAGAGGTCCTTGTTGCCTACTTCATCGCTCTCCTATTTCCTTCAAGGTCTCTCAAATATGCTCTTCTCATAAACTTTACCTCCAGAATTCTCTACACATTTCTTGTTTCTCCAGTCTTATTCATGTGTCCAGCCTATCGTGACCACTTAGATTTCATTACGTTAAAAATACTAGGTCACTTGAAAATTTGCCAAGTTCCTCGTTATGAAAGTGGCCTACCCTAAGTTACTCATTCACTACATAATTTAGGTGTAACTAATTTCTTTAGCACTTTCGTTTCAAGAATTGTAACTACGTTCTGTAACCATAAAAGCAAGTCGATATTTTTAATATCCCGGTGTTCAGCGTTGCGAAATATAGTATTAAATTTTCGAACTTAAGAAGAAAAGGTCTATAATTTTTTTCCTTAATTTCACCATGAATCTCGATTCAAAATTTTCATACCGAACAAGAAAATTGTCTTTAATTTATTCTTCCCCTAATTTCAGCGTGAATATCGCTCTTATATTTTCAGACTTAATAAGAAAAATTTCTTTAACGTAATACTCTCCTAACGTTATCTTGAAGCTCGTTTATAAATTTTCAAACTTGTTAAGAAAATTTTCAATAATTTATTCTTCTCCTACATTTACCTTGGTTATCGTTTCTAATTTCTTTTTATTTATACTTAATTTATATATTATGAAACGTGAGGTTTATGTAAGTGTCTTTGTTCCTCCTCTTCCGACTTCGGACAAAATGGACGATCTTCAGAGATCTTGTTTTCATTAAGCAGATTAGTTTAATAAACACTTTTAAGCTTATTCCACCAATGTCACATTCATTACTGGGTAAGTCGTGGCGTCGATCCATTAGCAGGAGCGACTCTTGGCTCTAGACGCATCTCTTGTGGTTCTTATCTAAACCTCTTGACTGCAAAACTGGTTTAAGGTCCAGCATACATTCCCGATATTATCACGTGTAAAGTGAAGCAATCCGACTTCGTCTTTGCAACTCACATCACGTATTCTGCGACTATATTTATAAGAATGTTAAAAGAGGTAATTTCACATTGCTTTTCAGCATAGTGACTACACCGTGTGCCACAGGGCAAAACTTTTCTCTTCGTTACAACACACAGATCGGTTCTGGGGCCCACCCAGGCCTTTGTACAGTGAGCACCAGGGTTCCTTCCTCGGAGTTAAAACGCTGCTGGGACTAGCCACTCAACTGTTTGTAATGCTGAGGTTAAGAACGAGTGGAGGTTTACCTCCAATCCTCCATACTTCTGTGTTGTAGTGTTCAGTTAAGCACCGGGGACAATTTCACACCATTCTTAAAAAAAAGGATTTTTTTCTGATACAGACAGTTTTCCGTCTAATTCAGACACATTCATATTGTTTAATTTTGAAGCACGAAGACTGTCGCCTGTTCGGCAAGCGCGAAACGTCTAAATGTATCGCCAACGCCTACAGTGAATTTGAACCTATAAATCAGATTTTCTTTCGTCCAAATTGGGCTGCCCTGTCACTTGAGCCGCCGTTGCACTTACATCAGTGGTTATATTACTGCATCTCTGGGAACTCTGAATAATAATCCGACCCCAACTTTACTCTCCCGCGCCTACAAGTTTGTTCTCGCCGATATGCACCTCCAGCCACCCACATCGTGAGGTTTGCATCTGTCTCTTCTCTCGCGGCGATAAACATCATTACTACCTCAACAGCGACTAGTCACAGCAAACACTCGTTTGGCCCCTGTACCCCTTCTGATCAATGATTTTCAGGGCCGCTCCAAATGAACCACGAGCTTAATCAAAAATTCTTAGTAGTACGAAGTCCCCATGAATTACAAAGTTTTCTTTCTCTAACACCAGACTGAACGTTGCGCGATAGTTGTCGGCATCCTTCTTCGTATTCGGGAGATACCGGATTTGATTACTCGACCCAGTGACTAGCCATCCTGACTGGAATTTGCAGTAGTTTCCCTGGGTCACAGAGGAAACTGCTGGGTAGAACATGAACCACGACAACATCCATCAATATCTTTTATAATTTATTATTCAAAATCCGCGGTAAAGATTTCTCTGCAGATAAGGGACAGAACCTGTCCACTTGCTTTTATCAAGTATCCAGTATAAGAATACATGGAGCTTTACCTCACATTCTCCGTACATTCCTGAAGATGGAAGTAGTATGTTTCAGTTCTTAAAGACGGTTTTTATTTAATTGACTGCCCTCAAACAAAGAAAAATTATAAATGGCCCTTAAATTAGCTGATGTGTTAAATCCAGTCGTACAGCGTTTAAAGGACGCGGAGACATGTTCAGAATTCCTTCTAACGCCAAAAACAAACCAAGAAGTGAAAAGATATGTAACTTCAGTCTTAAGCAGCTTGTGACTACAAGATAAACCACCTTTCACCCACTAGCACCGCAGTCGGTAACCAGCCACGATCCAATACAGTACAGTACATCTCCGATCTCTCATAAACCTGATACGATATTACTTCTTGGTCCATATACAAAACATTGACATCAATACGAAATACGAAATACAAACATATTAGTGACCTGTGATACTACAACGAAATGAAGAAACAATATAAAGGACAAGAAAATTATAAGAAAAATGAAGACTAAAAATCATTAAAATCAGTAAAAAATCAGTAATTTAGTGAAAAGTTTTAATACATAACACCTGATGATGGCTATATATAGCCGAAACATGTCGTGTATGTTCCACATGTAAATCGAGTACTCGATAGGGAACGTAAAATGATATTTTAACTTTTAATCTTTTAACAATATTAAATTGTGATTGACGGCTAATTTTAATATATTTTTAATAAGATAGATTTCTTTTAGAAAGTGTCGGGCCAGATATGAACCAAGGGTATGATAGTCTGCTGCTTTGTCACGCCTCCCATCCATCTCGTGCAGCGGTCATAAATTAGTTTAGAGCAATGGTGACCTTGAAAATGGACTATTCTGTCTAAATTGAGATGTTATTATAAGTTTAGAATGACATTTTAATCGATATCTCATACACTAAAGTGCAGTAGCCATGGACACCGCGAACATAACATTATGATGTTAATGAAACATTATTGAACATTAAATTGGATATTCCCTCCTAAAGCCATCGGAAACACTTATACAGCAAATATATTCAGACACAGGTGGAGACAAACGTGTGATTGCTTTGCAGTTCAAGAGGATTAAACATGAAAAGTGTTTTACAAGCAACGGACATTTATTCAGCCGTCCGTCCTCTGTATGTTGTGTCAAAGATATTTGGCTTAGCGCCTTATATACTGACGCAGAAGAAGGATTTTGAAGAAAGTAGATCAGTTTGTATCTGTTTGTCTCGGATGTGGTCTTTCTCCTTGGTGATTGTATTAATTACCTGGGGTTATATTTCTGTAGATTTCCATAATGATGAAAGTTTAACAATGAAAAGGAGAATTGTAGAAGTAGCATTTATACTGTCGTTATATTGTTGCGGTACAATACATTTGATTCTGTCACTTACCATAAACCGTCACAAGGTGTTACAAATTATTGAAAAACTTTCAGAAAGTGATAATCTGCTGTCATCTATGAAATATGGACATCAGATTTACAAGAATACCAGATTATATCTTATTATTCAGTTCATTGTTTGTATATCTGTCCTTTCTTTAATAATTTCGTATGATACGTATGTTATCCACAGTGATATTAATTTATTAAACTATTATCGGGTTTTCTTGGAATCACTGCCTGTGTATATAAATTCTATAATGATTTTGCAGTTCGTGGATTTCGTGCTGTTGTTAAGAAACAAATATAAATTTCTGAATTCTGAGCTGGAGTCTTTATCACTCAAACAAATATAAATTTCTGAATTCTGAGTTGGAGTCTATTTCACTGGCATCATACAAAATCACAACTGTGCAACGTTGCAGTAACATACATGTGACATCAATAGAAGACCTCAGACGAAAAATTGCTTCGTCAAGACGTCAGTGGTTTCGTAATTTGAGAATTATATACAGCCAACTTCATGACGTCGCTTTACTAATCAATTCCACTTATGGATATTCACTTATTCCTGCAGCATTATGGATCTTCATCGGTGTTACTTCAGGTGCAAGTTATGTATTGGATTTGAATAACACTGACTTTTACCGTTTTATATTTGTAATTGTGCTGTGGTCTGCTTACTGCATCGGTCTCACGGCAGCCATGGCCCTGTCTTGCAGTCAGGCTGTCTGTGAATGCAATCGCTCACCAGTCATTGTGCAGAAAATCATTTTACGTGATGATGCTGACAGTGAAAGTGTGAAAGAACTGGAGAAGATGTTTACGCAGTTACAAGCCATGAAGATCGCTTTCACAGCATGTGGATTATTCAATGTAGATTCGTCATTAATTTGTGGCATTATTGGTGTCACACTTTCATATATATTTGTAATTGCACAGTTCTAAATGCTTTATCGTTGTACTACAATGTGTAATTTAAATATTCGTTTTAAATAATGTAATAGTTCTACAGAATTTATGTTAATATCAACCGAGACAGTAATTCAATTGTTGATCATACGTCGGCAAGCGACTTCATTTAAGAAGTCGTTAAATTAGATGGGCTGGCTTTAGAAGCCAGTAGTATCTGCAAACTGCACTGCAATATCCCACATTTACCAACGTACATTGATGTCATGACATAAAATATTAAGCCATTTCGTCAGTTGAATATGAAATCGTGCAAAACGTTCGATGGAGTTTGTTTACAGCTTTGATGTTCTTAAGATTACATCGGAAACAACTGTGTAACAATGATTAGAGTATAGCATCGAAGGACGCTATCACTCGCAGATAATTGGTAATTAATTTTCAAAGTTAACATGCAGTCAACTTCTATTATTTTTATCGCATTATGTTCCCATACTCCGGGTATAATTACCTGACCTTGAAAGCACAGCTGTTGTTCACGTGTTACTTGGCTGGTGTCGCATGCTACAGGACCCTCCATGTAATTTTACGTTGTAAGATGCAGTATGAAATAAACTATGATTCACTGTAACGTGTGTGTCGACATTCAGTAAAAGAATCCTTTGTATATCTCTGGCCTTGGAGGAAAAAATGTTACACCACCTGGTCCAGATTAGCTCTGGACCCACTGACCTAACTAACAGACACTCGATACAACTTTGCAGGCTTACGAGGCTCATGAGATCGCCATGCTTTCATGTGTGTTTTACCCGTACAAATGTTTTAACGAACCGACAGATTTTTATTTAATTTGGTATAACGTTACGCCATTATAGACCACCGTAACCTACTTATTTCCTTCAATCGGTAACAATAATGCATTCACGAATGTGTGAGGCACCTTAAATGGCTAATGATAACAGATTTAAACAAATGTTCTCAACATTTGTTATTCTTGTAGGATGTAAAGCAGCATAACATCTTTATTAAATCCGTATTTAGCTCTCAGTTTGGTGGCAATAACCAAAGAACCACGTGAAACATTGCTTAGAAATCAATTATAAATATGGCGATGGTGCGAAAACTTCCAGTCATATCAAGCAAATTTAACGTAGACAAAAATGTGCTTAACTAACATACTCGTCCCACGAGTCAAGTTTTATAATTAAATAAGAAAAATGATAATATATTTACAAATGTAATCAATAAAGAATACTTGCCTGAAGGAAGATAAAATCCAGACTCGTGATAATAAATTGCAAGAGTCCATGTCACTAGCTCCCGAGATAAATCACTTTTGTTGCACTGATATCAATTTAAATATTTCTACGATTCAACTCAGATGTTATCGACACAACACATGTAAAACTGGAATTCTGTTCAATTGAAAAGCTGCTTTATGGCGTCTATCCACTGCTCCTAATTTACATATTTATTTAGGGATAACTTCAGAATACGGTGACAAGTTTACTAATGTCATTGTTACTCCGAAATGTATTGCAGTAGCTACCAACCTAAGTATCGTGTATTAACTTTGCATAACCAAAGCTGTAAAACCTTTATAATTAAACCGAACGCGGTTTTTAACCATTGTTTGATAAGCTTCAATGAAGCATTAACAGTCTTGTGTACTAAAGCAAAGAAATTCACTTCCCATTTCAATCGCAATGAAAATTCACTGCCTACCAACCGACGCCATTCATACTGTAAAGCAATGCCCAGTAGCAGTGTGAGTAACAGATGCTCAAGGTGAAAGACACGCAAGAGGGAATGTTAGATAACACTGTATTTTGAATGTTGGACTTATAATTCGTACTCTTCTGTTACTGATGTGCGTGTAACAACCAATATAATTCAAACGTTTGGAACGGATCAGTCAAAGGGTAAATCAAGGCCGTGCAGAAATTTGTGTTATATTACAAGGTTGCCTGCCATGGAACGGAAATTGTCATTGTGGGACTAGAAACAAGTGACGAGCATTGCCGGAATCAGCTGATTCAAGATGGCAACCCTCAATCCAAAGTTTCGTGTAAGTTTTAAAATAGTGTGGAAGTTATAATTATATTAAGTGAAATTCGTGGTTTAGTGGGAATGTAAACATTTGAATTACATTATATTTCATCATGCAGATAGCAAATAGTCTGGAACAGGGAATGCAACAGATGATACCGCCACAAACAACTCTCCGATCTGAAGGTAAGAAGATTACCTTTGATTGAAATTAGTAAATTACTTAAATTTAAATCGGATTTAAGGGATCAAGTAGGTCATAAAATTTTCTGAAACTTTCAACATTTTAAACCTCGAGTAGGACATCCCCCAACATTTCTTTAAACAGCTTAGGCGTTTGCCATTCTTATAGAAATAGTTATATAACATCCTTCAAAATAAATTAATATTTCCAGCTTCTTCTTTAAAGTATTTATTTGTAGGTAAAAGGCAAATAGATAACATAACTCTGAGAAATAAATTGAGTAATCATTTAAACTATTTCATCTAAAATTGTTTTGTTCTAATTGTAAAGCAATATAACACTTTTATAGTTGAAAATAATAAAGGCTTAATTTTAAGGTATCAGAATTGTTGTGCGCAAGAGTGTGTCGACAAATTTTGGGACAAATCATAGTCAAATAAACCATCAACATCGTCATCATTTATTTATTGTCTCTTGTAATATAAAATTGGTGTCCGTCGCGACATTGCATTTTATTCTTCGTAGTATCACACTTTAAAACTTCACTCCTCAAACTAGCAATATTCTGCCGTTTATTTTATCAGGGATTGCTGCTGTTTTTATTATCGTCTATGATACCACATTCAGACATGATAATAGGTTAGTCTCGTCCCCTTGTTTCTTGAATTGCCAGGTGTATTGGTCATAGCAACAGGTGCTGAACTGAAAACGAAAGTCACTAATGTCACTAATTTTATTTTTACTATCATACCAAGAGTGTGATTGTTAATGATGCACACTTTGGGTCGTCATCGGCTGTAAGATGTGTTGAGATCAGAGGATAGATCGATCAGTTGATTGTTAATGATGCACACTTTGGGTCATCATCGGCTGTAAGATGTGTTGAGGTCAGAGGATAGATCGATCAGCGTTACCGGGACAACCGAAGAATCAGTTTTTATAAAATTAAGCCTAATAGAGTGGACGTCATGGAAAATATATGTGCAGAAGTGGCTTAAGGTCCAACCACAATCTTATTATTGTGACGGTCAGGGGAATTGTGTACACTCTAAGCAAATCAATTGCAAAGCAAGTCTATATGCACAAAGAATATGATGCCAAACTTTTGCGTGATTACTTTCAATTCAGTCGTTTATTATTAGTGTGCTGCATTAACAACCAGATATGGCACAAGAGAAGGACACTAGAACACAAAAATAAATACAGAAAGGTAACAAAGAGATTATCAAAAATTACATGAGTGTAGAGGATTTTAATGCATGAAAGGAACTTGCTATTGAATACAGTATCTTTGTAATAATAGTTCAAATAAATTTTCAATTAGATTAAAAGAAGTAGAAAATATACACAACATACAAGGTACTGAATCAGAGAATTTATATAATTAGACTGATAACAAACAGTTAGTCAGTGGTGCGTTCAGGAGGAGATAACGGGTAAAATTATTTTTATAAAAATTTATATTGAGTGTAACCAATGTCTAATATATGAATAATAACACATATTGTAGAATGTGATTAAGGGAAACGATTATTTTAATATATCGAAGTCCCTGCAGACAACATTAGCAGCTGATTAGAATCTAGCAGGACAGCTTTTAACCGAACTTAGAAAAGTCTGTCAGATTTGTTAAAACTTATTATAATTTTTTTTTTTTGCTCTTTGATCTACCAAATATGTAACATTATCTAAAAGCATAATTTCTCTTTGTAAACTCACCTGATTCTTGTAAATACTCTCTTGGACATTCCGGGATTAGTTCGGAAATTACCTGGAAAGAATTAATTTGCGTACGTCAGGTAATGATTTCCATATGTGCTAGACCTTTTATGAAAATTTATTCTCAAACAAATATTGACAGTCGTTAATTATTGAAATCTAGGATGTGATAGAATGTTTCAACAAATTTTGTGAAACAGAAAGTGCATAAGTTACCTTCGTTTTCCATCATGCTTAAGAGAACATTACAAATACTCCTGTAATTTTTCATGAAGTAAAATACACACTGATTTAAGAGAAACTCCTTCTGCTGTATATTCGGTAATATGGTATTGCACTACTTACGTTTCAAATTCTTCTTTGAGGGAAGACTTCAATATTCTAGTGTCTATTGATTCTTTATATGACAACATCGTACTTCATAAATATCGCGCCCAATAATTGTTTCGGTTTTGTTCAAGACAAGATTTGGGCAAAAAATAAATGTAAATGTCACGTTCTTGTTGGATATACTGTTTTCATCTACATCCCTGAAGATGGAGACAGTATGTTCCTCCGAATTGTTTGCACCTACTGACAAGTCTACAGCTTGCCAAAACCCAAAATAACGCCATTTATCCTCACCGCTGTAAAAATCTCAAACGTCGCAAGAGAGGAAAAATGTAAAAGAACGGAGTACAGTTGTTTTGATACTTTACGTGCCATATTGACCTCGATATCCGGTTATACTCCGTACAAATATATCAGATCACACTTAACACTAATATAAACTGTCCTGTTTAAGTAAACCTAGTGAAAAGAAGCACGGTATTCTGTAGGAAACAAGACTTACCATTTCCGCCGAAGACCAAGGCGATGCTGAAGGTTATCAGCGCGATGAGTAAGAAGGTTCGCATTGCAACCTGAGAACACACGGCGAACAGATAGCGTCAAAGAATCCTCCGCAGTGTCTACGTTCCGTGTAATGCGTACCAGCATTCGCGATGAACAAGTTTTTGATATCCACTGGAGGAGGGTCTCTCTTGACAGGGGTCACTAAACTGTAGTTCAAAAGCCAAAAATGGCGCTGTCTATCGTATCACTTTCAATAACTTTTAGACTAAGTCACATCTCAGTTCAGTGATCAACCCTTATTCAACGTGTTAATTTAGGGTGACAGACGGACGAAACCATGACCTTGTGAATACGAATGTGACATAATAACCACTCAATCGTCACCCTTCGCCATGTGTTATATAATAACACTTTTTAAATTGATTCTGCACTGCGTTTTCTGTATGAAGATCTGTCACTTACTGGTCCTAGAAAGAACTACTTCAAGAAATGTAACTTGGCTTTGTTGTCTTTACTCAGAAATGCTTGTCTCTTATCGGGAAAGCCTTGTGGCCTATGGGCGGTGAGTCATGCAGTTCCTGCCTGCAACTGGAAAGTACAGCACCTTAAAATTTATTAGTGAACACAGTGTACGTCCAATAACAACTGAAATATTTTTAATGCTGAGTGGGAAGAGATTTGAAAGATGATAATGACCTATTTTGTGATATTTTCTTTTGGAATCTGTCATTTAAAACTGAAGGAAATGACTTCAATACCAGAGCACGTCTGGACATCATGGCGTCCCTTGGATCTTTTAAACAAAACCCCTTTTCCTGTGGCTGCGTCGGTGACTATCGGTAGTGACCCTGTATACAGTTTCTCCAGTGACATTACCTGGATTACCTTTGGTAGATTGATCGTATTTTGATGCCTTCGCGATGCTTGGTGTCGGTTTTGCACCGTCGTGTTGAGTGACATATAAGACGGACCTACGCAAGATACGTAGTCTTTCGGCGGCGCTGTGATGATTGACTTCATGAGGCTGTTCGCCGATTTCTTATCATCGGTTGTATTATGTCTCGAATTTTCTGTTTGCTTAATTTTGCTGTTTACATTCGATGTCGTGACAAATAGCTCAGCGGCGTTCAGGGTGCATTTCAGCGTTTTGTGTAACAGCTTCCCGAGGCTTATCATCGCCACGTATGGTGTATTTTGCTGTCGTCGCTTAGGTGAGTCATAATCTTTGCACATGGCGTCCCGAGGCATCTCTTGTCTTAATTCGTGTTTCCAAGTCGGCGTCTCTACGATATTTTTCGCAACGAAATTCTATCCCGATTCCCCATAAAATGTTAATCCGCGTCGATTTTTCAGCGTCGTGCATGTTCCTTCACTAAGCCCATATACACTATTCTTATATCGTAGTTTCGACGCTCGATGTCGCTTTGTGAATCGTGTCGTATGGCGTCTTAATGCTCGTCTTGTCTTGATTTAGAATTGAAGTTGACGTTGCGACTTTTTGGCTCAATAGTTACGTCATGCTGAGTATTATCTGGTATATGTGGAATCCTTTGTCGGCGTCGCGATGTAAGCGTAGCCACGCTCTACGATTGTTTGCGTCGTGTCTTATGGCATTTGTAGGCTTATCTGCGGAACCGTAATTTTTATTCATACTTTGTAACCGAGCTACAGAACGCATTCTCACGGAATCAAACCCAGGACTGTTTTTCTGGGTTCTTGTCTTTATTTCTGTATTTTTATCTTCGAAGCAAACATATTTGGTATGGTCGCCATTATTATATAGCGGTTATTTTCCGAAGTATAGGAAGTGCAGAGACAGGATAGTAGGACAGCCGGTCTAGCCAGGTACAAATACGAGCGCATGTCGTTTGGACAGCCTCAGACCAAGAGGTTAAGGTCATCAAGAATATGTTCATAAGGCTCAGAAACGTCTATATCCGCTTAAAGTTTAGGAGTCTTGTTTTTCAATGCCAGTGAGATTCTTCGGCCATAGTCTTTAGATGGGGCCGGAGAAGGTTAAAACTCCTTTGTTTTTCAATGCCAGTGAGATTCTTCGTCCATAGGGGCCGGAGAAGGTTAAAACTCCTCATTATATAACACGCGAGTCTGTTTCTACTTTTGCAGTGGGGACACGAAGAGACAGCAAACGAGTGGAGTAACTTTTTATACCATATATTCAAGCATAAAATTTTCCGTTACTTTTTGTTTCCCCCTTGCCATTCCGCTTTAAATAACTTTTATCGCACATACATTTAAACTGTTATTCTCTGTATTTCCTAATTGGACTTGCGGGATATAGTTTTTGATGGAAACAGACATAGTTCTGTGTTAAACAGGTTTATGTATCACACGAATGTAATACGACATTAACATGGAACGCAAATGATGCAGCCAGAAGCCAATATGAACGTCCTGTTGATCTTGTCAGTAAAGTTTAGCAAGTAAGGAACCAGAGAAACATGGGTTTGGTTTATTACTTCGCGTCTGAGGCGAATGCGAGTGTTCTACCGAGCAGAATTGCCTGCGTCAGTAATTATTCACCAGGTGTTTCTGAAGGGTAGCACGGGGATTGTTAATTTAATATTTTAGGCTTGAAAACATTCCGGGGAAACTCGAAACACTCCCTTCAGTGCAAGGCAGGAGCTTTTCAACAACTGGGACTTGTGTTGTGAGAACTAGGAGTTCCCTTGGGGCGCTGGGTTCTGGGCGGCTCCCAACCCTTACAGCTCACCTGCTGGTACAGTTCAAACCCCATGACAAGTGTACATAGGAGGCCATGTTGAACTGCGCAAAAATACTACGTGAATTATAAAAATGGATCGCTAAATTGTATAACTATTAATGCAAATGTCGATGTTGGTCTGCTGGGTTGTAGCGCCTTGTGGACTTGTAGGTGGATAATAACGTTTTCGAGGAACATACTGCTTCCATCTTCAGATAGACTACCTTCTTCCGCTCAGGTGTTTCCACCAAAATAAACAAAAGGCAAAATTGCAGGCCTACTTTTAATAATTCTGACTATTTGTACAACTTTATGTTTGTTATGATATTTTGTTCCGCCGCAAATCTCAGCTACAAAGTTTCACAAAATGTGTCTGTACTCCACCAAATATTTTTACTAGTCAGTGAATGAGGATAAGACGAGAGGGCATGCAGCACAGTAGAGAGGAGGTGAGATCTGCAAAATATTAGTCCGGAAAACTTAACGAAAAAGGGCAAATTGAGAGAACTAAACGTAGACGTGAGGGTCGGATTAAATGGAATTTAACGAGACCGGTGTGATAGTGTGGATTGGGTTCATATGGCTCAGGATAGGGCCCAGTGGTGTTCTATTATAATTACGGTAACAAATTTTCGGGTTCCCTAAAATGCGAGAATTTCTTGGCATACTCATTGACTATCGGCTCTTTATGAGGGCATCTCTGCGTGGAGGTAGTTAAGGATTTCACGGAGGTGAAAATGTAGACTGTGGTCTTCTGGGCTACGCGTAATCTTGTGACTGGTTAGACTTACTGACGTTTCGGAGGAACATGTCACCTTCACCTTCAAGGTTAAAGATACACTTGTTCAAAACGTCGATAAGTACATAAAATACTGTAAGATATCATAACCCGGAATACCACAGTCGGCTTTAAAAGTGCATTTTTTGTATGTGCTAATCTTCAATATTTTCATTAAATTAATTTTATATTAGTGCATTTATTTTTTAAAATAACAGTTCGCGATTTCGTAATTTTTGTCACGAATTAATCTCGTGGTTTAATTAATGGATATGGCGTTTTTCATTGCCCGCATATGTAAATTTTGTGCTTATATGTAGCCGATGCAAATTAAAACATAGGCCCAACTTAATTGTTCTTTAAAACAAGAACTGTTTTCTTTCTAGTATAAACTAACGTAGTAAGTGAATAATTTATCTTGACGCCGGTTCCAAGGAAAGGACACATAATTTGTGTAGGTGGTTTAAAAGTATTACTTGTCACTTAACGCAACACGTGTGTGACTTATTTATGAGGGTTGTTACGAAAACGTATTTAGAGTGACACACCCATTTCTTTTTAATGTAAAAAGGTGTACAGTACATGGTTCTAAGCCATGTACGTGATACGGGGTTTAGTGCGCTGTTTTTGAGGGGATGAGTTAGGCCTGTAGTTGTAAATGATGCGAATTGTGAGTCTGTGTGTATGTAGGGTTGGGGTGGGGGGGTGCTCCCGTGCTAATGTAATTGGAAGTGCTGTGGCACTGTACACCTCACTCAGGCTAATTAAAATGTGTTCTAAATTGGCATAACCACGGCTGGTCACGATTAATTACAAAAAGTTCCTGTTAAAATACAAGATTGTGATCGATGTTGGTAAAAGAGAAAATGCTACGTGGAAGATCGCAGTATGCCATTTCAAAGAGAAAGGGAGAAATTTTCCTACTATATGAGGTGTTTTGTTCGCCAACATGGCCAGAGAAACTGAGAGTCGCTCAGGTCGTCTAGAAATTCTCCGTTATGTACGGAACCCAAAAGCTCGCCACATTTTCACGTCTTTAAACCCATTTCATTAAGACATATTTTTTTATACTATCCCTTCGTCTGATACTAGGAACCCAAAGGCTCACCATGTTTACAAGATCTCTCGCTGGACTTTATCCTGAGCCAACCAGTCAGTTAATATTCTCTGACACCAATTCTTTAAAATGCATTTTAATATTATCATTCCCTCTACAACTACGAACCCGAGGGCTCGTCATGTTTACAAGGACCCATCAGTGAGACTGCAAATTGATATTACAAATTCTTGAGAACAAATTTCGCCTTTTAATATCATTATGTCCACTCTTCATTATCCCCCACAATTCATTCTTATTGTTCTGTTGGTCAAAACTGCTCGCAGTGTTTATGCAGTCGTCACTTTCAATTATTCGTCGTCGTAAATAAAATGTTTATTTCCCTTTCAGACCAAATAACTTCGTTGCCTGTCTTCTTAAAGAGCCATACTCATAATTTCTCGCATGTTGCAAGTTTACAAGCGCCTTGTGTAATGTAGGTGTTCTCGTATTTAATTTGTTCGTGGAAGAACATTCTTTCAGAAATTTCGCAACTTAACTTACACAGTCTTCTGAAATACAGAAAAAAATAAGGAAACCAATACTTATTATAGTAAAATGTAAATTCTGTTAACTTTTAAACCCGTCACTAATTTGTGTATCTGTCGCTTAGTGAGAAACAGCACAATACTAGCTCCGTTCCTGTGCTTATATGCCGGTGATTTGTATTTTCCTTTCGTTTTTCCCTTACTTATTTTTTATTACGAACTAGATTCCAATTGGAATTCAGTTCGTATCACTTCTTAGCAACCACCTGTTCACAATCAAATTTCTCGCTGTTTTTCTCTTTGTTTTCTGAGGAAATAACCTGTGTTCTTGTAAATCACTGCCTATTCACCATTCATAGTTATTTATTCCTCTAATTCAACGCTGTATGTGACCACTGCAATTGAAACAGCTTTAGTAACTAATCTAACGTGTTTAAAATACATTATATGGACCCTTCTGTTATTGTCGGCGAGTGGTTAGGAAGTACGTGCAGTCTTATGGCTGGACCCATTCTGTTTCTCGTGAAGCAGTGCTGTACTCGGCCGCCATTCAGTTTACATTCCTACAGGGGAACCCCCGAGGTGGTGGCGAAGTCATACGGTTCAGTAATCATTACATGCAGGTAGACCATAATGCTGTTCACTCCACTGAAAATTAATTTCATCGCTACTTCTTCCATTCCGCACCCCACTATATGGTACACTCCGCTTCTGTAAACCAGCTCCACCAGCCGATGTTACTTGTGTTCCTTCCTGGTTAAATTTCTTTCTTTTGTCGGGAATTTCAAAAAATATTTATTTCTTTCGGTTGGGGGGGGGGTGCTCCTACAGTAGCCGTCTGCTTTTGTTTATGTAAGCATATATTTTATGTTGTGAATTTAACAAAAAAATTAAATATTTTTAACGGTCCAATAAAACACAAAATGTACACGACCTCAAATCGAAATGAATCGAATTTCTAAACAATTGATTTCAGGATAAAGATATATATAGTTAAACCTTCGCGGCTGCTGAATCTAATAAAATCTTCTTTGGTATTAATTGTGTAAGAATGGGGTTAATATCCTAAACCCGTTGATGGGGACATAAACAGCCTAAGAAACGCTGGATATTAACTCCGAGTTCACTGTTCGCCCGAGGAGACTTCACTGAAGTTTGGCAATAATTTAAAAGATAAACACTGGTATATTCTTTATCACTTGTTTTGAAAGTTTTTGCGTGTGTTTAACTATTTAAAGAATTAAAAATAAACCTAATTTATAGTTCTGTGCAGTGTCATATCTTTGAAGCAACAATTTTGTAACTCTGATAATGAACATCAAAGACATTAAAGAATATACAAAACAACACGTCGAAATGCGTGTGTACCTTCAAGTGACCCCTTCGATGTTGCTTGTTAGTTATAAGTTGCTTCCCTAAACACTGTGATACACTGCTTACACAGAATCACATCGCAACGTCATAGAAATCAGATGTTGGTCGAGATGGAGCTGATGATTCAGGTAATTCCGGTTCAAAACTTCTCTGCTGTCTTTCAGCAGTGTTGAACATTTGCCCCTGGATAGGCCGCAAATAATCATACACATTCAGAGGCACGTGAAGGACTGACATGTACCTTTGTCTTTCCCTTGGTCTGACGTCATCGGCTTTGCTCTTGGCGTCCAAAGGGTATTCCACATAGACGTATTCATTGACGTGTTCTGTCGTCCTGCGTTTGTCGAAGATACTTCTTGACTTCGTAATATATCCCAAGAGAACTTCTGTTAACTTCCCAAGTATGAAAAGTCCTATTATGACAATTAACACGATTGTGGATTTATCCATAATACCGCATTCCATCTGTCGAAGGGTAACTGATAAATCGTATTTGCGGCCCTCGCATGTGATGTTTGTCTTTATGGATCTCACAGCACAAAACTGGTAGAAGTTCTTGAAAGAGCAATCACATTCAATAGGACATCGGATTGCATCCAAATGTTTTAACCTAACACACGGTTCAAGCACTGCACTGGAAATTTTTCTAATTTTGTTGTCACTGATTGATAAAACTTCCATTTGCGTCGTTGGCGATAATAATTCCGCATTCAACGTGGAAATGTTGTTTCTGTCTAAATGAAGTTCTTTTAATTTCTTCTGGTAAGTAAATAGTGTTGCTGGAAGCACATTAAGATTATTGCCACTGAGATTCAGAATCGTCATTGATTCCAAGGAAACGAATGACGTACTGTCCAAATGATTCAATCTGTTGTCATTAACGTAAAACTCTTCTAGCATTGTCAAAGAACTTAACACGTCATTGCGAAGAGATTCTAATTTGTTTCCACTTAAAGAAAGAGTTATTAGTTTTTTCTGACTTAAAAACACTCCAGCATCTAGTGTCTGCAAGTTATTGTGGTCCAGTTTTAATTTATTCAAAGCAGTTAAAGGGTAGAATATAAACACATTTAGTGATTCGATCTGATTATGACTGAGGTCCAAGTTTTCAAGACTTGGAAAATAATTAAATGAATTATTACCCAGTTTCTTAAGCTCGAGGTTGAAACTAATTTTCAACGTAGTGAGGTTATTTTTACCTTCGTACCATGAGCCTTCGAGGTGCGTGAGGTCGGTGTTGCACACTTCCAGCACGCTGATATTGGCGATCGCTTCAGAAAATACTCTCCTTCTCAAGTACTTCTGCATTTCTCCTGTACATATTATTTTGTTTCCCCATTGTTTGTATTCGCATTTTGATTGCATCGCTTCTAAATTCAAAATTACTACAAGCAAGAGGATGCATGAAGACAGAACACGAAGTAATGTCGCCATTACTACTTGTAAATCCTGAAACAGAAAAGTTTCACTGCGTTAAGAAATACAGTAACACATCCTGACAACTGCGTGCAGGTTCGAAATATATTTACCTGCTTTAGACTAGGGAGCAGTGGCTAACTTTTGTGAACACTGTAATGAATATTCTAGTTCCGTAAAAGACCTTGAACTTTTTTACTAACTGAGCGACTATTAACTTCTCAAGGAGTGTTCTCCGAGGTGTTAGGTAGTTACGCGGAGGTTGGTGAGATATTGTAAACCATGTTTATAAAGAAACAAAGACCGCTGTGTTTACCAGTTCAGTTGACCGACTTGTGCTTTTGAGTTCACGGTAATTTCACGACTGGGCATTGCGCACTAACTAGCTAAAGGAAACGCATCAGAAATAGCAGGAAAATTGAGTAACAAAAGCTCCGTCATGGCATCGTTACATCCGGAGACGGGAATTAAACCACAGACATCCTGCAGGACAGTCACGACTGTCGGTCTCATCCAGAGGTAGAGACGATCGAAGCTTCAAACTAACCTTAACTGCGTCTGTTACAGAGATGTGTTCACACCCAGTTTGCTATTCACGAGACAGGGGTTGAGAGGGGCCTTCCTCTCAGGTAAAAACAAACAAAGCAGTGTCAAGGCTAAACAGATTGAGACTCAAATATGATTTTTTTATCACCTTGTAATGTTTCAGATAAATGTTATAGATGGGAATTATTTCTACACTTTACGTTTGTACAAATAGTTCATATGATGAAAAGTTTTTTCTGTTTTCTGTTTAATTTGAGCTTCGTATAAAGTGACGATTATGCTGGAAGGGTGTAGTCGAAAGGAAGTAATTCATTCGTTAATCCTCTAAACACATATTACACGCTATAAACCATTCGCATTAAATTTTATTTTTATTAAATTCCTGTTAAATATAATGTTGTCTATGTTTTAAAACATGTTTCGACTAGATTATCCATCATCAGGTGGCATTAAACTTATGTATGACAGACTGTGCATGACTGTGTGATACAGGAAATTATACTATGTTTTATTATTGTATGCAGAAGGAAAATACTACTTACTTTTACTACTAAGAAGGCAAAAACAAGCAGACACATTCTCACGGTTGCAAGGTGGAGGTAGGAATGGAGGACCCAGTAGCCATTATAAATGTAGTGAGGCTGTACAAAGGCGCTGACTCTTCCAATCCATTTAACTTTGCGTTAACGCGAATAACATTAAATCAATTATCGCTTTCGTGAAATTGAATTCAACCTAAACTTTGCCCCTATTCTTCACTGAACCTCGCCTTCTGAATCCACTTAATACGCCACGTGTAATATTTTACATCTTTATTGGCGCCATGTGTAAAGAGAAAGGCTTGTTTGTGAAGTAACTGTCTCGAAAGGGGATACAATTTGATAATGATAATGGCTGATATGAAAGTGCACTTAACAACTACAAATATGTAACTGTTCATTTCCTTAAAAAATGGTCCCAAAATGTGATGTATGAAGACGAAAATTTATTTTGATATCATGAGTTCTTTTACTTATTTATAATAAATCTACCGATTTAATTGTTCGCTTTTTCATCTGTTGCATAATGATAATAAAACATTTATTTATTATTTTTTGTAAAATGTATTCTGTATTAAGATAAGGTAACAGTTGTACATAGTTTTCATTACTTAATCTACAGTCATAATTAAACCCTTTTACACAATTAGTTTTCTTAGAAAATTAAACGAGTTTCCTTGCATGTTCCTCTAGCAACTAGTAATTCATTAAGATCTTAAAAAGTTTAACAGACGCTTAGTAAGATCTGAATCCTTCGCATCGACTGAATGCAATGAGGTCCTCGCGGGCCATCCGTCACTTTAACACGGCTTGTCGCCGAAGAAGATCACGTTTCAAATAAAAGTTTTCTTATAATGTCACCTTCCAGCATTAAGCTCATTCCGAACGAAAATATGTCTTGCCTCTTTCGACCATAGACATTTTTAAAATATTTATAAATCAGTCTAATATAATATTTGTTCGTTCTTTTGTTAAAATTTTGATCTTTGTAACTTTAATAGGCCCTCGTACATCCTACTAAAATTTTAAACCATGAAGGTGAGGGGGAAAAAACAGAAGAGAGACAATAATAGAGAAAAAGAACATGACGCACGGGATATGGGAAGAGATATGATGATAAATACTGGGGAATTTATTGCGAAGCGGCGACAGGATGGGTAGAGTTAATCCTAAGGAGATGTGCACAGCAAGACCGCCTTACAAGATCCCAGACTAAGGGTGAAATATGCAGGGCAGTGAAACAGTGAAATGATAACAAGTGGCGTATCTCCCACGACCCTGCTACACTGTATTAGTGCTTACACAGCACGAGAATGCGTGCTTTCTTTGCATACCTAGTTAGAATGATTAAATAGAGGCAGGCGGGCGGACATTAAAAGTAAACACAGAATTTTGAGCCGGAAAATCTCAAATAAAAAGATTATTTGGGAGACATAGGCTTAATTAACTGACGCGATGGAACGTTCCTTCTTAAGAAGCTGATAGTAGCTCAGATGGTCAAGATATTTTCCGCGTTTTGTGGAACCCTGGGTTTCATAACCGTGTTCAAAAATGCTCTGGTCCGGATTCAGCTGGTTTATGACAAAATAAAATGACGGCCTTTTTTGAACATTGCAATTAACCCTCGGGTCGCTGGTTTATGACAAAATAAAATGACGGTCTTTTTTGAACATTGCAATTAACCTTCGGGTTACATTTGGGAAATTTCTTACTCAGCTGTAACTTACCAGACGAAAAGCGTAAACTTGGAAGACCTAGAATAAAATGGTTTGATAACATTATCGCGGATATTAAGGTGTGTTCACACTGCCCAAGCTTTTGCTGAGTTACTCCTGCTCATAAGGATTAATGTTAATGGAACGAATTTTAACATCAACCCCAGTGGCGAGATTTGAAATCTTCGGATACTGTTACGAAATAATTATTCAATTATTGAATTTCAACTTGTCATTTTATTAGTGTATAACTCTACTATAATAATTAGAAATCTAGAAATATATTTATCCACTCTAAGCTCATAGAACAGTTTCGCTATTTATATTAACACATTCTCTTGGAAATTTTCTGATCGAATAGTTAGGGTATATTCCAGTTATTTTTGCCTCTGTATCTGCATCCCTTTGTCTTAACAGTTCATTTTAATGTTCTATTCACGGCTGGGAAGGTCTTTCCAGTTTTAAACCGTTCTTTAGTTGGGCTATGCTGGAATCCTTAAAGCCCTGTGGTGGTACAGAAACTGTTCTGTGTAATACCTCGCACTAGGGAATTTAAATTATTTATTCTCACCCTGGTATTACAGTGGATAACGTTCCTTTGAGTATTGCTGATAATTTACTGAGTTACTTATCTTTGAACCAGGAACTAATTAGTTATACTCCTAGTATAATCCAGTGCTTTATTACCTGTGTCCATAGGAAACAGAATTGATGTCTACCTACAGAATTACTTTCTCTGGTTTTATTATTTGTTTCATTTCTGTCGTAATTTATTTTTGACGTGATAAAATCACGAGGATAAAAGGGGCAGGGCATGTAGGGCTTATGAGAGAGAATAGAGATGCTCACATAATTTTTGTCGGAAATACTGAAAGGGAGAGACGACTTGGAAAACCATGACGTGTATGGGAGAGTAAAATTGAAATTAGTCTTAAGAAAGTAGGGCGTGAAGATGTGGACTTGATTCGCCTGTCTTGTAAATACTACAAGAATATTTTAATTCCATGAAATGTGGAGAAATTCTTGGTCATTTCAGTGACTGCCAGTTTCCTAAGAAGGTCCATGATTTATTGAGTTATTATTAGGCCAAGTTTTTTTTAATATAATTTAGTCTCTTGCGTATTGAATTGCTTTTTGAAATTGTTATAGCCTTCATTCTGTACTCCTGCGTTTCTGGGCTAATTCTTTTACCACTGAAAACGCACAAGTATTGTGTAAAGTAAATCTAACTTTTGTTTCGCTGGGATTCGTATGTCGCCCACATTGAAAAATGAAAATAGATTTCAGCACAAAACATAATGTTGCAATAATGAACAAAACGGACGAATATATTGAAAGACATGCATTATAATATAAAGTAGTTTTAAAAGACAACACCTGAAGATGATGCTTTGCATCGAAACATGTAGTGAAGTGAATGAAGGCGCTCTATTGTAACATCGTTATAGAGATGAATGGCGCAAATTTAAATTTTAAATTTTAACATTTAAATTTTAAATTTTAACATCTAAATAAAGTTTGTGTATTGACCTGAATTTTATTATATATTTTAATAATGTTGTTAATAGAATGAAAATTTACTAGCTGTAATAACTGTATTTGAATTTCTAAAGTTTTGCCGTCAAATTCGAATGAATCATGTTTTGATTATGAAGTTTCGACGTGAAGGTACTGAGTAAGTCTGTAAAGTATGTTTGTTAAAAATTTAGAAGTGTGTTAATAGTGGTTTGACTCATTATGTTTTAGCATTTTTATAGTCTATAGTCTTCGTACAAATATGTGCACTGTTTACAGTCTTATGTTGAAAATAAAATTGGCCTTTATACTTAAACTACCGAATAAAGTAGGCAATAGGTGTCTCTAATGGTAAAAGAGATTTGAAGGCCGGCACATGCATTCACATGCCTAACCCATCCCAGTATCAAAATAGAGCACTGAAGAGAAACGAGAAAGAACAAGGAACATAAAAGAAAGGAAGATTCGAAAATACAAGACGATGAGAAAGAATGAAAGTATGAACATAAAAGAAAGGAAGATTCGAAAAGACAAGACGAAGAGAAAGAATGAAAGTAGGAAATAAAATAAATTTGGTTTTCGTGTTATATCGATTCCTCTATTCGCGAGAAAAGCATCACTCTTCAAAGAAAAAATTGTCTGCTTCCTGTTGATTTGGATCTGAAGGGATGGGAGAATGCTGTGTAGTTCTAGTTCGGACATAGCGAGATCATCGCAATTTTGGTGCAACAGGTGGCATCTTAATAACCAGTACGATGGATCACATGACATCAGCTTCGATATTTATCGACAGGTCTCAGTAGACGTGTAATCGATGTACATGACGAGGGTATCGAGGCAGCTGACAGTGTATAAACAAGACAAATCGGTTACTGACACTTCAGAGAAACCGCGCTGTGGATACATTTTAGTCAGCGGTGTTTCTTCGTGGTTGTTGGGGTCATTTGTAAACTTATGTATGGTTTAACATTGCTTCATATGTGTGTAATGTAATAATTTATTTCTATGAAGAGAAAACAGAAACTTAATCAGTTTTTTAAAGGATAA